GCACGCACCAGATCCCAGCCAGCCGCGGGCAGGCGGCACTCTCCGGCTGCCGGCGGCGCCCAGACGAAGCGGGTCCAGACGCCGGCACACCCCCGGCACACCCCTCCCCACCCCGCCTCCGCCAGCGGCTCCCCTCGGCGCAGTGTGCCGCCGCCGGCGTCCTTGCTGTCAGCACTGCCCAGCTCTGTGCGGCTGCCCTTCCCCACGACTCCTCGCTTTGACCATCAGGCTCCAAGGCCTGCCATCTGCCTTCCTGAGGATCTGTCTGCAGGATTTCCACAGATGCCTCCCAGCGGCCGCAGGACCGGCGTTCCCAGAGGTTCCCCTCACCAGTGCAATCGCTGGAGCTGCTCCTGATGTCCCGCACAAGCTCCTTGCTCGGGACCCCCTTTGTGAAAACTCAGTACAAGGAGACAGTGCTGTCTTTCTCACACAGAGGAGACCGCCAGGGCCGGCGCAGAGGGAGATGGGCCCCATCTCTCATGCTCACTTGGCACCCCAACTTGAGCACTGCCTCCTACAGCATCCTTCCCCCAGGGGTCTGGGACCCTTGGACTCCTGCCCTCTCTGAGCACATCCATCATGCCCTCCCAATCTGCAGCCACACCTCTCACACCTGCTCACCAGTCCTCAAACCTGTCCTGTCTCACTTTTCTCCTATGTACATGCTTGCACCCCTACTCCTTGCACACGTGTGAGCCCACACAGCCTTCATGAGCACGGGTGTTCCCACACCTGCCTTCCCACAGCCTCCTTTCTCCCCTACTCACTTTGCTCAGGCACCTGCTTGCCCTGGGCCTCCTGCCCTTAGGACCTCACTCACAGGGCTCACACCCTGGCGGAGCCTGTGGGTAAGCCCCAGGCTGTAGGCCGCAGGTGAGAAGTACCCAGACACCTCTGCCCCAAGACAAGCTGTAAGGCAAGGGGTGGGCAGGTCCACGTGGGGCGGAAGATCATCCCCTGGGACACTTCCGCTGGGTTTCCCAGAGGTTATGCGCTGTAGGTAGGGACAAGGGCCTAGAGACAAGGCCAGTGTCGGACTGCCTCAGCTGTTAACATCTTCCTACAAGAGTCTGACCTTCTGCTCTTTCAGAGCAGTCATGGCCAACTGGTGATCAAACCAGCTGTTTTTCCCCTTCTGTGCTGCTGGGAATTGAACCTAGGACCTCAAGAACACTAGGCAAATCCTCTACCACTGAGTTACCCAGCCCCACCTTACCAACATTTTAAAGTTGAAACATCAGACCTTGTTGGTTTTTCTTTTCTGTTTTTGTCCTCAGTGATTTTCCAACCCAGGTGCAGAGAAAGTTAAAGCAGAAATATTTTTTCTTTTTATTACACACAGAGCAGCGTTTCCGGGGGTAGGGGGTAGAGTGCACGATTGAAGCTCTGGTCACACACAGCTGTCACGTGGCCGCTCCAGGACTCCACGTAATCGGCCTGCCACTGTCCCTGCTCCAGAGCCACACCCAGGTACACACAGGGGCAGCCACACCTTGCAGCCCAGCTTTGTTTTTGTTTCCTCTTCTCTGAAATGGCGGTAATAATTTCTGCCTTTCTCACAAGTTTCTTGGGAAATAATGTGTGTACAAATGGTTGAGGAAATGTGAAGTAGGGCCACACTTTCATCAGATGCCCCCCAACATACACACTAGGGAGTGAATTTAGAGCTTCACCCTGAGCTATGTTCCCAGCTTCTCCCCCTTTCAGATTTAAAAAACCTGGTTTTTGGTTTATTTCTGAGGCAGGGTCTCACTACGCAGTTCAGGCTGGCCTTGAACTCACTGTGAACCCAGGCTGGCCTTGAACTAGAGTCAATCCACCTGCCTCAGCCTCCTGAGAGCTAGGATTATAGGCATGCAGCACCGTGCTTGGCTGCATTGTTCTTAAATTTTCAGACATGGTCTCACTAAATTGCTAGATTGCCTGGGCTGGGCTCAAACTTTTAATCCTCCTGCCTCAGCCTCCCAGCGTGCTAGGGCTACAATGCCACCATGCCCTGCTACAGCAGGTGCTTTTGCTTTTGCATTAGTGGAGAGAGACTCAGTGTCCCAGGCACACAGCTGGGGAGGCACCCACTGGGCAGCCAGTGCTGGAACCCAGCACAGGGTCCCTGCCTGCTTGTGAGCCTGCCGTCACAGCTACTTGAACACAGGCCCAAGCTTGCGGCAGGGCTGGGGAAGGGCCAGGGCAGGGCCTAGGCCTAGGGAGGGCAGTGGAAGCCTTTGTGCTAAGCAGCCTGCCACATACCAGAGGGGCCCTGGGGAGGAGGAGGGAGACACTTAGCTGGAGGAGCTGCCACTCTTCCTCCAGAAGCTGCAGGGTGATGCCAGGCAAAGGGACAGGCCTGTGTCTCAGCTTCCCTCAGCCGGCCAGGCTCTGTCTTTGTCTCCTGGCCCTCACTGTCCCACACTGTCTCGTGGGCCCTTTTGCTTATTGCCTGCCCCATTGATTGAAAGTCTCTCTCAGGTTCTCCAAGGAGTCCCAGGAAAAATGATCCGCCAGCCTATTGATTCTTCATTAGAATTACATTTTCACGTGTGCTAAATTGGTTTTAAAAGCTTTTTCTGTTGTTATTGTCTTGTCAGACCCTGCGGTCCAGGGCAAACCAAGTTTAAACGTTGTGGCTTCTTAGGGGGGAAAAATCACCAGGCCTGGGTCTGTGATTACAGGTTTTCATGACGCCAGTTGTGATTTTGTGTGAGTGTCTTCAGGGAAAGGGCCCGATAGAAGCCGCTCACTCAGGATGGGGGTGGCTAGTGAGGGAACCAAAGTCCCTGAAGTGAAGATACAGAGCTGTTTCTTTTGCTGAAATTAAATTTAGCACTTAAACTTATATTCATTGCTTTTGGGACAAGAGGAAAGATGAAAGTTTTTAAAAAGCACTTCTATGTCCTTACTCCTCTCCTGGACTGAATAGAAAAAAAAACCAGAAAACTGAGCACCACTTATTATGGCTCTTTCTTCCTCCTTAAGCAGTTAGGGTGTGTGTGTGCGTGTGCGTGTGCATGTGTGTGTGCGCACGCACACGTTACACAGTGCTGAGAGACAGGCCACAGACTCCTGCTTTCCAGCATGGCAGAACTCGAGGAAACTGGTAGTGCTGCTCTGCACAGGCCAGGGTGGAGCGGACCCACATGGAGAAGGAGGGGAGGAGAGCAGAAGAGAGATGGGGATGGGTCTGAGGCCCAGTGGGCAGAGAGGGAAGGTGGGCGAGAGAAAGGGAGGCAGGGACTGCAGAGACAGCAGGGAGGGAGGAGACCTGGAGATAGTCCCACGGGCAGAAGCAGAGGCAAAGGACAGGGGAAAGGGGGAAGGGAAGGGAGGAAGACAGTAGAAGTAAAGACCAGGAGAGGATGAGAAAAGAAAGCAAGTGAGAAAAGACAGAGGAAGGGACTGAAAGATCAAAACAGGCAACTCCAGGGTGCTCTTAGGCCTTACAGCCAGCCTGGCCCCCAGCGCAGCCCCCTCCTGGTTGGCAGCAGGGAGGCCAGCCGGGGAGTGGGCACCGGGAGTGGGCACCAGGCTGCCAAGGAGCCCAGGCAGGACAGCTGAATGTCTCTGTGATGTGTTTATCCCCTAATCAGTTCATTAGTTATAAACAACATGACATTAGAAGTTAGGAGGCAGTTGATATTAATTTTTATTTAACTAGTTGATGTTTAATCCGTCACGCCAGGCTGGGTAGCGGCGAGAAAGATCTTCCTGACACAAAACCAGTTAGAACTTCATAAGGCGCAATCAGTGTCCGTGCTTGAAACAAACAAGAGAGACAGAGACACACAGAGACAGAGACGGAGGCGGAGGCAGAAGCAGAGGGAGCCCTGCATCCGCCGGGACAGGCCTGGAGTGGGAGTAGCCAGAAAGTCTGGAGATCTCCAGGAGCTGGTGGCTCTGAACTCTGGCAGGTGCAAGACCCAGCCACTGCCCTGACAGCCAACCAGGGCCCAGGAGGGCACCATGGAAGGCCAGGCCAGGCAGATGTGGGGAAGTCAGTAGCTGGGGCCCTGCAAGCCTCACTGCTGCAAGTACCAGCGCCTTTCAGCAAGGAATTCGTCCAGTGCCCACTGCATGGCAGGTGGCCAAGGAGTAATGTCCTGGCGAGGCGAGGCCCCGCTTTTGGAAACTCTGGGGGCATGAGTCTCTCTGCGTCAGAAAAAGCAGGCCGGGTGAGGAAGGAGGAAAAGTCTAGGAGTTTGTGCCCAGCAGCTCAAGTTTGACCAAGTCTGCCGGGGCTCAGGCCAGAACTGAGTATGCCTGCATGCGGGGCTTAGTCCGCGGGGACGGGCCCACAGTGAAGAGATGAAGGATGGTGTTGGGGCTCAGCGGGCCCCTCAGGGCTTCTCCCCGAGGTCGCTTGCTCCTTCACAATCCTCCTGCACCAAGGCTTCCAGCAGGGACCAGCTGCTTGCCTGGTGGTACCGGCTGCTGCTTTGAGATCCCCGGCTTCCCCAAGTTAAACTCCCCAACCCGCACCCGCAGTGAGCGCTTGGCTTTTTCCACCCTCACCCGGGGCAGCGGCCGGGCACCGCTCGGTCACGCCTGCCTGCGCTGCCCGCGGTGGGGGCCCGGGCGGTAGTTTTCCGCTGTGCCCAGGACAGTTTGGAGGGACAGAGGCATCCTCGCTCGCAGACTCCAGCCGGCCGAGCATCGCCGTTTGCATGTTAATCTGCCTCCACCGCGAAAAGGAAATCGCTGAAATTCCGAAGAAAATTGCCTCTTGCCGGCGGTTAATAGTTAACTCAGACAGGAAAGTTCCCAGGGAAGGGCGAGACCAGGCGAGGGGCGCGGGGGGCGCGGGGAGGCCCCGACCAGCGGCGCAGGGCCCCGCGCACCTCCCTCCGCGGCGCACGGCCCTCGCCCCGTAATTAGCGTCGTTTAGTTCACAAAACCCTTCCTGGGAGAAAATCTGTTCCCTCGTTCCGGGGCTCGGTTCAGCACCTGACTCCGCCGGGTGAGGGAATAAATCACCGCGGCGGCGGGGGAGCCGGCCCGAGCCCGCCAGACGGGCCGCGGGAGGACGGCGAGGAGGAGGAGGACGAGGAGCGGGCGGGGCGGCCGGAGGCAGCCCGGAGAGGGAGGACCGGGCCAGAGAGGCCGAACCGGGCAGACCGCGCGAGACGGAGCAGAGGAGCGGGAGAGGAAGGCGAACGGCGGAGAGGGAAGGCGAAGAGCGGAGATGGAAGTTAGAGAGGGAAGCGAGGAGGGCGGAGCCAGAGAATAAAGAAAATAAACGAGAGCCCGGAGCGCAGAGGCCTCGGTCTGCCGGCCCAAACTCCTCGCGCGGCCGGCAGGGAAGCGCGCCCCGCGGCGGCCCGGCTCGCTCGGGGGCTGCAGCCCCGAGGTGCAGGCCGGGCGCAGGGCGCACAGAGGCTGCTGCCCCTGCTAGGGGCGGTGCTGGGCACAGTGCCGCGGGCGCAGGGCGCGACGTGGCGCGAGTGGATGAAAGGCGCACGGCTCTTCTCGGGCGCGCGCGGGCGCCTGGACTCTCCGCCCTGCGCGAAGGGGCCGACGCCGTCCAGCGCGGACCCGCGTGCCTGGCCGCTCGGCG